CTACTCACACAGATGGGTAAGTCCACTCTGGAGATCTCTGCAGACTTGTGAAATCAGGATGACGTGTCTGGAATTCTTCCTCTGCTCTCCACTGCTGAAGTAACTCAGGCAAATGCAAGTTGGCAGCTCCTTTAAAGACTCCAATTTACCCATTTTACATAATAACTTTCAGCTGCATTAAACACAAACGCAGAAAAAAACCCAGGTAGCACCAACAGTGAAATCTAAATTTGGATTACTCACAGAGAAAACACACAAAGTCTGAATGATTTTGCAATTAAATCAGAAGCAAACTGAAGTCATTTTTACACTGAGCTGGATTGTCCATGGGACACATCAGCCTGCACCCAGAGGGAAGTGTAGGAGCAAAGTTCTGCACTTCCTGAGGCAGCTGAGGAATGGCAAATGCATCCTCACACCTCTAGAGCTGCTGGTTCCTCCCAAATCCAGAACAATCCCATCTCCTGGGGCGTTACAAACCCCTTCTCACAACAGCCCTGCCAAAAGCAAAGTGCACATTTCTGAATTAAAGATTCTTTATTCCACAGCTCCTGCTGAGTGTATTGCTGTCCCACTCCTTGGATATTCATTTATTTGTTGCTGGGCATAAGAAACCTGAAATCATAACTCTCAGATTGGATTCATTTGGTGTTTCAATTTCCAATCTAAATTTTAATTAACTCTTTTACTTCGGCATTGCATTTCATCATGATGAATTACTTGGAGCAATACACAATACAGAAGCTCTATGGAGTAGCTGAATGTAAAAATATTTACTTAGAAATTTCCATTTATTTTTCTCCAAACTGTTAAAATAGAATGTACAGACACAGTAACAGAAATATGAGGTGACAGAAGAGAATGGGCCAGATCCTGGTGAATCCACTCCATTTTACAGGCACATAAAACTGAACTGGCCTCAGCTTGATGTAACTGATACATCTCCAAAATGAATGATAGACATGAAATGGCAAAAAGGCTGGTGAGCCAAATTCATCTTACGGGCTTTGGGTTTATTTTCTATTATTCCCTTTCTAGATTTTCAAAATATTCCTTAATGCTCTTTCCTTTCAGAAGGAAATGTAAGTCTATCAAAATAATATTTACAAGCTCAGCTGCAGCATCCTCCATGGTAATTCAGCCTGGCTGTTGGTTGCTGTTTGTGAGGAATAGTTCTGCTTGAGCTCTCCAAGAGAAGAAAACAACTCTGTTTTCCTGATATACTTCAGATTCAAATTATTGAAGTGCAGGATAGAGAAATGAATGAGATAAAGGCAAATGTGGAATTCATACCTGGTGCTGTGATGAGCTCGCTGGTAACTGATAAAGCTGTGAGTGTTAAAAGAACTTTAATGAGAAATGATATTGACCTAAGTGCCAGTGTTATCGGCACTACTGCATTTAAAATAAATGAAATTTAAAAATACTTAACTTGCACTTCAGCAGTGTCCACTGACAAATATTTTAGTTTAATATCTACTTCTGCCTTCCATTAAAATACCTTTAGATGAGAATATCAAAAGCAATTTCCATCTTAGTTTCCTACAGTCCCATAACTTTTTATGCTCTTATCATCAAAAACAATTCCCCCTTCTTTCCTCTGAGTAACTAATTCAAAGACAGATGTAACACACATTTTTTGCTACCTCCTCTCTAAATTGACAACATTGTTTCTGTGCAGCCTTTCAGAAAGTTTCCAGCTGCAAACAACAGAGCCCAGAGCAGAGGGGCTGCTGCTCCTGGTTACTGCTGGAAGAAACCCCAAAGTTACCATAAAGTAACTCTCATAATTAAGATGAGCTATCAATAATCATCTATTTTTAAGTGCAGCATCTATAAATCCTCCTAATTAGTAAACTAGATGTCTTCTTTTTTAGCAAACAATCCCCAGCCTCCCTCCTTATTTATTTCCCTGGATTCAATTATGTTTGCACCTACTGGCCCAATCACCTAAATGACAGATTCTGGATGGAAGGGAGAGGCTGGGCCATAAACAATAATTTCATTAGAGTTCAATTTAAAGGATTTGCCTGCACCTATTTTCTCTGCTTTATGAAGAATGTTGATGCTGTTTCCTGCTCTGTGGCTCTGCTCTCCTGTCAGGAGATGCAACAAGAATTTCACACTGCTCCCAGTCCATCCTTCACTGCTGAATCCACTGGAATCCAGGCTGAGATTCTCCTGCAGGGGAAGGACCATTAGGATAAAGAGGGAAGGAATGATTTCCAAATCTGGGCTGAAAAACTGATAAAAGTAAAAAAAATTTAGTTAGTTGCTAAAAGGGACTCTTTGTAAAATAAAGGTTAGGAAATATTTCTTTAGAATACAAAAATAACAGAGCTACTTTTGCTATGAAAAGCCATGGAGGAGGAGGAGATGTTCCTGATGGTATTTACCTAAATCTTACTTTAAAATCCATCTACTCCCAAAATCAAATCAGTTCCTTTCCCAAAAACCTTCCAGAATGAAATTCAGTCTCTGGATGACAAATTCTGAAAATTTGGGGATGGAATCTGAGCCATTCTCTACCTTGAAGGATTAAACAAGACAGACATGGATCCCAAACTGTGCACGTTGAAACTCAACAACATCCAAACCATCACAGCTCTGCAGCTCAGGTGTTCAAAGAAAAGCACATTTCCTCCCCTCACCTGCAACACAACAAACCTTCAAAATACGTTCTGAAGCTGTCACACCTTGCATGTTAAGTCAATATTAGGCAGAATTATCAATTTACAATGTTTATCTCCCAATGAACGGTAATTGGGGCGAGTGTGTAAAATTGGATTTGTATAAATGAAAACAGCAACCAAAGGGGAGGCAAACAGGCAGCTAAAGCCCTGAGAGAGGAGCTTTGGAGAGAGGAACTGCACAGCATTTTTATGTAACACGTGGGGAAACTGTGCAGCATGGGAGTTCTGAATGTTAATTCTGCAGCTGTACTAAATCCAGTGTGTCAGACTCTGTCTGCAAGCAAGCCAGATTTAAGGAAGCACATTTGTACTGCAGCATTGGAGGCTGAAAAATGGTTAACTTGGTGAAGTTCACCAGGAGGAAGTTTATCTAGGAGGCTAAGATGAATTCCAGTATTCCTTCAGCAGTGTTTCACTTCAGAAGTAGCTCTCAGTTAAATAGTTAAGTACTTTCCTAAGTATTCTTTCATTAATTCTCTCCATTAATGAAGAAAAGCATGGCATGAGCTAGAACTCTTCAATTAAGATAATGATTATCATAACCAGATGTTTTGTTTGACAGCTTGAAGGATATGGGTGTGCTGTGATTTAGTTCAGAGATTTTCGTTCAACTCAAGACTTCCATTAAACAACCTCACCCTCATCTCTGATTGTATCAATCCCAAAATCCCCATTCTGAGGGACAGAACTGGAGATGTTTGGGGTCTTTTTTTTTGTGACAGAAATGTCACCAAGCTGCTGAGGGCTGGGGTGAGCAGAGCAGGCAGGAGCAGGGCACAGGGCAGGGAGATAAGAGCCGTGGTTAACAAGCACCCCGTTATCTCCCTGCAGCAGGCACAGGAGCTGGGCCTGCCCTCACCCACGGCTGCAGACAAAGGCTGGGCCAGGGGGAAAGCCAAGGATCAGCTTCCAGTGCACCTCAGCACTGGGAACAGCACCCAGACATTGACAGAGCTGGGACAGAAACACGGAATGCACAGGGGAAGTCCTTCTGTGGAAATGAACTTGATCGCAAACGTGGTCTGGTCAAAAATTCATCTCTAAAATCCATCTCTAAAATTCACCTCTGCATTTCCTCCTGAACCAGACAAGCCTGGCCACTGTGCTTTGGCTGAACTGAAAAAAAAAAAAAAAGGTTAAGTTAATGGTTGTTTCCAAACCAAAAATAATTTTCAGAGTAAGGAGTACTTTAATTTCACTCTACCCTCTAAATTAACGCCTGTGCCTTAAGTTTTACAGCCTGATTTTACAGACACAGCAATTACTTTTAAATTTGGTAAGATATTTAGTCAACTTCAAGCAAAAAAAAAAATCTTTTTCATACTTGTAAAGTGTTATAGGCATAATCTGGATGATCTAATTACATGACAAACATGGTCTGATTCATGGATAACACCTCCTAATAAACGAACACACCTCTGGTAAAACAAAATCTTTTGTTAGAGAAGAAGTAGAAAAGGCCCCCACATCCTTAAGAGAATTTAAAATATTGTCACCAAGCTAAAAACAGCAAGTAAATATTAACTCTGTGAAGTGCAAAACAAGTTTTATTGACCCGTGAGGTAAATATTGACTGAAATGAAGCAAATATTTATGTGCTGATGTTAAAGGGATGAATCCCCTTCACCACAGCAAACAGGATTTTGCCTACTACATTTCTGGGTTTGCATTTATTCCAGAAGGTCTGAAAGGAGAGATTTCCTTTTCCAGACATCTGCTTTTTAAAAACAAAACTGTCTTTCCTCAGTGGCTAAATTGGATGTGCACCCAGAGGGCTGCAATACTGTACAACACACGGGTTTGACAAATTGCTTTCAGACAGAAAACTCACTTGACTAAAACCTGACCAGGCAACAACATCCAGGACCCCTCTTTGATCCCCGAAAAGGTAAACAGAAAGTCAAATTCCATTTTAGGGGTTATGGTAGGAGATTAATTTGGGTTTGGAACATGAAATGTATTGTGCATCACACACATGGTGGCATTGCCAGGGCTGTCCTGTGCAGGGCCAGGAGAGGGACCTGGATGATCCCAGTGGGTCCCTCCCAACTCAGGATGTTCTTTGATTTAACAAGGAAAATACAGAATAATTAAGGATATTATAACTACTAGCAGGTACTACAAATGGAATATCAATTAACAAACCCATCTACTCCTTCCTGGTAAATCCCCTCATGTTTACACACACGAGAATTCATTGTGCAATTGAACGATCCCCACTGGGATTCACACGTTCAGATGAGCAAATTAGACGAGAAAAACCCCTAATTTTGAGAAACTTCAAAGATCCTGTTGAAAATTCCGGCACCTTTAAGGACACCCATTAGAGAATACCCACGTCATGATCATTACATCTTCTGACCTAAATACCTCCGTAATGCTCTAAGAGCAGCAATTACCGCACACCTCCCGAAATTCCTGAACATCTGAATAATTTCTGAGTCACTGGATTGAACAGATCCTCCAGTGTCACTACAGGAAAAGGCCGGTTCAGGAAACGGCTTCTCCACCTGGTCCTGATGAGCACGGGAGCTGCTCCTGCCTGCAGATAAAGACAGAGGCTGAGCACCCTCCTGTGCAGGGAGCAAAAACTGCAGCTGCCCTTTGTGGCTCCGCTGGCTGATTCTCATTCAAGGCTTTATCTTCGCCTAAAAAAAAAAAAAAAAAATTAAAATAAACAAGACTCCGGGATCTAATTCAGCTTTGGAACAATGACATGAGAGCACTGCAGAGGAATTGCCCTCAGTTTAGAATGACTTCACAGGAATGAGCAGGCTGCCGTACACAGAGGGCTTGTAAGATTTCTGGAAACCTCAGGGAACGGGGTGATGTCATTGCAACACAAAAATATCTGCTTCGAATTCCTCGCGAGTCTCCTTGACAAAGCCTGGGGGATCAGAGTTCAGCGGTGAAATCAGCCATCACCTCAGGGCTGTTCTCAGGGCTCTGCTCTTCCCTGTCTCGGATACAGGAGCTGTTTGCTTGTGCTCGAAATACAAACTGAAGTCAGGGCTTGTAGAGTTGCAGGAGCCAGTTGTTAAAAGATGGAGCACTCAAAGCTCAGGAAACATTCGGATTTTAAAGGTTATTTGAGCCTCTTGGCAGGACTTTCAAATCCTTCAAACAGTTTAAACTAAACTCCCTTAATTTTGCAGAAGTCTTCCATGCTCAAGCAGCATTTTGGGTAAAATGAAGACAAACCAATAAAGCCTTTGAATATTCAGGACATTCTGCTATCCTACAGACTCTTACCAAAAAGCCCATTTTTTTATCATATCATTAACTAAAATTGCTTTCCTTGTATCTGAGATCGGCTCCTTTAAATTCCACCCCAGATGATGCTGCACACCTCATTTTCAAGCACCACATCCTTCTGATGGAAAAAAGGTGACACAAAAGGTGAAGACTGTAATCCCTTAACCTGCTCAGCTTTCTGCAGAGCTCCTTCAGGACACAAAATATATTCTTCTAATATTTCTGCCCATAAAACAAGCTCTCAGCAACTTCTAGGAGGGAGGAGCTGTTGTTGCAGAGGTCAATACTGAGCTGCCAGGGCATCCCAGGCAGAGCTCCACAAGGATCAGAGTTTGTTCCAAAGTTTTCATGCACTGAACAACCTCGGGAAGAGCAGGTACACACTGATGGAAAGTGCTAATTGCACCAATTAAGGAGGTACCACCTGTTCCTGGGAGGATGAGAAAGTCTGGGACACTTCTGAGTGTATAAACACCTGAAAATGTGCCTGTGAAATTTACTGGCGTCCTGGGAGTAGAATCCAAACACAGATTGGTAAATTTATCACCAGGTATTCCATGACCTAATGTGCCCAATGCCCATGGGAAAAGACTTCCAATTTTCTGTGAATAATCTCCCAAATCTCTCCTGTGTCAGGAGTTAGTAAATCCAGAGGTCATTAATGGCACTAGGAAAACATACCTGTTAAATAACAACATCTCTGAAGAGTTACACACCTTCTAATGAGCTGTGAATTGGAGATAAATCAGCAAGTGACCTGCATGAACAAACACCACTGATTAATAAGCTGCCACGAATTAATTTCATATTTTCAGTACATGTGGCAATGAGAAACAGTTTGAGAACAACGTGGATTTAAAGCTACATTTGTACTTTAATGCATTTTATAATTACAAAAAAGAAACAGCTGAACAAATCTTTTATATTTATACCCTTCCAAGCGATGTACAGAAGGCATGCATAATTTCCAATCATAAAACACTATTTAAAAATAAAAGATTTATAATTGCTTTCCCTGATTTGAGAAGCAAATTAAGATTTTTTTTCACATTGTCCTTCATAATCCAAACACGACGAGAGTGAGTGACTGAGCAAAGAGTGGGAGAATGAACAATATGGCACAGCAGAAGCCAAACACAACAGGTTTGTGTTATCCTTGGAAGGATGGGGACATGGCCATAACATTTTTTGAGTGCTTCCTGCCAGGCATCTGAAATCTGCATCGGTGCTGCTACTGAGCAGTATTGAGATAATTAGAAAGAAAAATTACACAAATGAGAAAGGTCTTCTGAGTTCAGAGGGCCTACAGGAACAGGAGTATGTTTAATACTTAAAATATATTTGTAATAACCAGCCCAGGTTTCTTCCAATCCATCAGCCACAGCCTGAGCAAAACGCAGAGGATATGTGACCTGAACTTTCCAGTCGGGAAATTCTAGGCACAGTTTCCAAAAACATCATAAAAGTAGACCAAATTGCCTCCTCAAAACCTACCTCCAAGAGACACAGAGTTTTCAGCTACTTCTTTGAAAATAAAAGAGAAGCTTTGTTGTTAGGTGGTGGCGCTGAACACCAGGCCACTTAACTCTTCCAAACACTTAATTTTCCACATCATAACTTTTTCATCTAAGGGCCCATCCTTTCCTTCTCCAGGGCTTACTGACCCCACAGCATTGCTGTATTCAAACTTTGGAATTAAAACAGCATTTCTGTCCTGACTCAAAACAACACAGCGCCGATTTTCAAAGCTGCTTAGATATTAGTCCCACTTTCCGTGTGAGCTGCATACCTAAACACTTTTCCAGAAAAATATCTGAGCCAGGGAAAACAGATGCCATTTCTGGACGCAAACTAATTTATTCAAGAGCATATTTCAAAAGAAAACCTGTATCTATCTCATTCCAAGCCTCTCCCAAGAGCTACGGCAGCATTAACTAGGGCAGCGCTTTCCTCAGGTTTCCTGGGAGGCAAAGCCAATTTCCAGACAGCAGGACTCCCTTAATCGCCACCGACAAGTAATGACACCGCAGTACACATATACTTTTATATCCATCCCTTCATTTCCTTCCTTATTATTGCCCTCCCAGATTAATTTTAATTGAGGCTTTCAATAAAAAGCAACAGGACCCACCCCCTCGTTTTGGCGGGGTTGGGGCTGAGGGGAGGCGCGCCCTCCTCACGGGCCATGGCGGGGCCAAGGCCGCGACGTTGCCAGAGCAACGCCCAGCTCGGAGCCTTCCTCCTCCTCCTCACCGCTCTCCTTCCTCCTTCTCCTCCCCTCACGGCTCCTCCTCTTCCTCCCCCCGCCGCGCCCTCTCCCACCCCCTCGGCCCCGGCGATGGCGGCGGGCGGCGGGCGGGAGGCGCCGGGCGCCCCATGAGGTACCATGAGGGGAAGGGCGGGAAGGGGCGCCCGCCGCGTCCCCTCACGGCGCGGGGCAGGGAGGGGGACACGGGGACGCGGCTCCGGGGTCACCCTTTCCTTCCCTTCTCTGTGCGGGGGTCCCGGCTGTTCAAACGCAACGAGGGTGCCCGGGATGGGCCGTCCTGGGGAGCTCCGGGCGGTTCGAACCCTCCCGGGGGTCCCGGCGAGGAGCGGGGCAGATCCCGGAGCGCGGGGGGAGCGGCGGCCCCGGGAGACGGGGAATGCGCCAAGGGGCCTTTCTCAAGAGCCTTATTTTAGTTAATATTTGGGACGGAGAACAAAATCTGGGTGCGTGCGGGAGTCTTCTCTGAAATCCCATTTAATAACTAGGTGATTTGAAAGTTTGTGCCAGGGGCGGTGCGATCCTCCAGCTCCGGCTTTTTGAGCACCGAGCTGTCAGTTCTTGCAGAACCCGGACCCAAAACACCAACAGGGCAAATGAATTAATCTTTTTTATTCCTTCCTCTAAAAGCATTTCAGTAACACTGCAACACTGTTCATTAGTCATTACCATCTCCACTTCATCGGTTTTATTCGTGTGCAAAAAAATACAGAATGAGAATTTAGGTTGTTTTGAGGTATGATGTCATCTTTGGCCAACAAAACAAAAATAGTAGTAGGAGGAGCAGCACTTGTAAATATTAGTAAGTTCGCATATTCATGTGTTAAAGTGGTTCTACTCTTTAATATTACCTTCTTTTTAAAGGCTAAAGAATTTGAGGTTTGTGCAAATGCATCCAGAACTTTGTTTCTGTATTCCCAGTGAACCTAGCTGTGAAATAAATATTTTCAAAGAGGAATCCGTAAGAGTTTGAACAGTAGGAAATGGATTATATCAAAATTCTCAGTGTTTCAATATTACTCCATAGTGACAAGTATTGTGTCAAATTCAGCTTCCAGGCATTCTCCAAAATCATTACTCTGATGTCACACCAGTCCAGAGAAGTTGATTTAACCCTATTTGAGCCGAGTAAAGACTCACAGAGAAGTGAAAAAGTGCCCAAAAGACAACCAAAAAAATGCCAAAGGAAAGACAAATCAGCCCTCATTTGGCTGCATTTCATTTTTCACTCTTTTAAATGCTTTAGAAAATGGCCTAACCTGGTTCTGCTCCCTTCTCCAGACAGGATAATCTCATTAATCTCATAATGGCCCTCAGTTTTGAGCATGCACTGGCTTTTGACTGGACTTGTCTGTACAGTGCTCACCAATTAATGGATGCATGGAAATGCCCTCCCTGCTTCCTTCCCATCAGTGTTTGCTCCTTTTCTGGCCCACTGCTGCTGCTATTTTTGTGAAATTATGCAGCACTTCCAAGATCTCTCCCCTACAAGCCAGTGCTGGTCTCCTGTCCGGTTCTGATTTGCGCTTTTGGCTGTTCCTGAGGCAGCCGGGAAGATCTGCACAGGGAGGGAAGGAAATCATTTTAATTTGGGATAACACAGGAGAGGGGGTGTGACCCACACAACAAACTCGGGCAGATCTCAGCACAACCTATTGTATTGGAATAAGAATCCCAATATAACCAGTTAGATGGTGCCTGGGCCAGTTCTGACCCTCGCTGCTGGGCCAAAGGCAGCACTGTGGTGCTTTACCCCAGAGATACCTTGGCTGAGAGTGCAGCGGGGCACTTCCAGGCTGTCAGGACTCCGTTTCCTCAGGAGAGAGAGCTTCTGGCGATGGTGGAGAGAAAGGGAGCGGGTTCTGCTAGAAGGTTGCCAGATGTTTATTCCGTGGGTACAGAGATGTCTGCACCGGGATTGGATTTTTATTTTCCTGAATGATTTCTCTCTTTCTTTAAACTGTTTCTATCCCGCTCTAGGAGACACAAATCAGAAAGAAGCCCAGGAGCAGCCATGCACCCTGACTGTGTCCATCTCCACAGCATCCAGGGCGGCGGTGATGATTCCTCCTGCTCCAGGCCGGCTGCGGAGGGCTCCTCCTGCCCCGGGGATGTGCGCACCCAGCTGGGCTCCTCCTGCCCCGGGGATGTGCGCACCCAGCTGGGCTCCTCCTGCCCCGGGGATGTGCGCATCCAGCTGGGCTCCGGCGCGGCGGAACCCCGGGACACGCCGAGCTCCCGGGGCTCCCGGGCGGGCTCGCAGAGCCGCGGCCACGGGGAGGCAGCGGGGCCCGAGGATGCGGAGCCCGAGGAGCAGGGCGGGAGCTCCGTGGCCGAGCTGCGCTGCCTCCTGCAGTGGCTGCACAGGAGCCTGCCCTACCTCGTCATCCTCAGCGTCAAACTGCTCCTGCAGCACAGCACTGGTAGAGTAGAACCGAAGCAGACCCTCCTCCCCTTCCCCCCACTCCGTGCACTAATAACCCTGCCTGAAATGTAATTCGATTTATTTTTAGCTTTATTTTTATTTGCTTTATTCATCAGAAAGAGAGATTTACTAAACTGCATTTCAGTGGCTTCTGTTTCCTTTGCTGGCATATGTACAATGTGCTTAATTATCCTGGCTTGAGAGTCTGAGCTATTAATTCTAATTACAAAGACATATTAGAAGTGGCTGCTTTTTAACCCAGTTCAGTGATTTTTTTTTCCTTTTCATGTTTATAACTGATCCTATTTTCCTAATAGGCATTTCTCTTGGAATTGGGCTGCTAACAACTTATGCATATGCAAACAAAAGCATAGTAAATCAGGTTTTTCTCAGAGTAAGTATCACCCTATGCAACAAAATTCTTTAAGTTAAGCAAGACTTTAACAAGTTAATCCATTTTTGAAAGAAATGTGAACAGACATGTTGTTTTATTTACTTAATAATGTTAGCTATCTAGATAGAAGTAAAGTCTTAATGCTTCTGTACAGGGGAACTCAAATAACAAAGTTTGCAAAATTCTAGGGGGTGTTTTTTTCCCCTCTGACTTGACTATTGAAATCACTTTTTTGTAAATTATGGATTACCTTCTTAACTCTTTTTGTGGGATGAAATAACAGTTGTCAGTTTAAACCTTCAGCTCTGTGTTCACTCCCAAAGGGAAACCTGCTGTTTCTTCAGAGTGGGGTGGGTTCTGGTTGTCTTTAGAAAAATCCTTGGTACACCTAGAAATTGGTAGGCTGAAAATACTAAAATTACTGCTTTACCTTTCCATTGGGGTCTCAATCTAGCTATTTATTTTATCTAGGATAAATATCTAGGATTTATCTAGGATATTTATCCAGGATAAAGTCCTCTGGTGCTAGGGATGGATTGCAGCCCTGCTGTGAGGCAAGGACTGCAGTGTGTGTGTACACCCCCTGCAGGAACGGTGCTCCAGGCTGCAGTGCACGTGGCTGCTGCTCTACCTGAGTGGATCTTCTCTGCTCTTGTATTACACCTTCCACTCCCAGGCCCTGTACCACAGGTAAGTGTGAAACACCTCCACCCCACCATCAATGAACTGGGGACACTTCATCTGCTGGTTTGCTTTAATTGTGCCATTGGTTTGTCTTTCACTTTAATCTCCATTCCTCCCCTTCTGCCAAATTTAACAGGTGCTGTCCTTAAAAACAGTATGCTGGAATTTCCTAGGCTCCATGCTTGATTTAATGGCACAGAGAACATTCCTGGCTCTGACTGCCAGCTCTGACCCTTGGGAATACCAAATGTGGCATCCTGGGCAGTTCATGACTCCAATTGATTTTTCCCCCTTGACCATTCTGTAGCTGCAGCCTTGGCTGGAAACCAAGGGCTGAATGCCAACCTGAGACAGCCAACTGAGCTCTGGAGGATGGGGCTGTGATGAAGATCCAGCAAAGAAGGTTCCAGCATGGAAAACTTGTCAGAGATCCTCAGTGATCCATTTACAACCAGCAGTTCATTTTCTTAGCAAATGTTCCCCCTTGGGGTAAACCAGGTTTCCTTTTTTAATTAAACCTGCTGTGATAATCTCAGGTTACAGTTTCCTCTAAATAGGGTGCTCCAGTAACTTCTGATACTTCTTTTTGTAGCTTAATCTTCTTAAGCCCCACTGTGGATTTTATGAACTTTTGGGAGGTGCTTTGGATTGTGGGAGTCACCGACTTTATTCTGAAATTCCTCTTCATGGGCTTGAAGTGCTTTATTCTCCTGGTGCCTTCTTTTATCATGTCCTTTAAATCCAAGGTAAGGAAACAAGCTGCAGTTTTGATTCCTTGTGAAGATTCTCTTATGGTAAAAGTAACTAATTATTAAATTCTACCTAGAGAAAAACCTTTAATTAAATGTCTGTATATAATCCACCACTACACCGTGGGCAAGAAAACCCTGTGGATTTCATGTCCTTCTCTGCTTGGTGCTAAAAAAGGTTTTCAGTCAGATCAGAAACACCTTCTTGTATTATATCATGGGATAAATGGGTTTATTTCTGTCTCCAAGTTGGGGGTTGAAGCAAACCTTTTATTTTCTGCTCTGGAGGAATGTGTACACAGGCAGTTGGCCTGGAGCAGCTGGAGCACAGCAAATTTTGCACATGCTCAACAAGAACTGTCAAGATTTTAGGATCTGCACATGCATACAGCTGGTTTTTTTCTGGCTCTTCAAAAATAATCCTGAATTTTCTTTGTTGTTAATAAACTTAAAGAATATTTGTCAGATCAAGGAATTTGATGCATAGCTTAATTTCTCAAATCAGTGAGGTTTAATAATTTTCTCAGAAGCTTACACTCACTGGTGGTGTATTTATTTTTATCTGCTTCCCGAGGTGAGGCAGGCAAAACCAATTACAT